ATGCAGGTGTAGAAGACAAGGAGAGAATGCAGGTGTGGAAGACAAGGGCGGGCTGGGGAGGGGGCAAGAGATGCGAGGAAGGAATGGGACATGGCCCGCAGAGGCTGTGAAGGGGGGGCCCGGGGCCCGGGAGCAGGGTGGGGCCAGCGGCACCTCGACAGTGGCCCTGGTGCCCTAGGGCCTCATCCAGCAGTGAAGGGTCCTGACGCCAAGCCCATGCGTGGGTGCGGGGTGTCTCGGGTGTGGGGTGGATGTGGCCTCTGGGTCCCTCTGCTCAGGACCCTGCTTCTTTGATGGGCTTCCAGGTTGTAAGCCCTCCACGCTGCCCCCAGCCCCGGGTGCTCCCCTCCTCCTCACCGTCTGAAGTTCTAGGGGCAAGTGGACAGTGAGATTCGTGAACCTCAACCTCCGAGCCCTTCGCTGAGGCCCTGAGACTCTTCCTGCTCAAGTGCGGGGTTAGCAGGACCCCAGGCCCCGGCCAGCCTGCCCGTTCAGAATCTGCATTTTCAGCCCCAGAGCTTCACAGGCCAAGTGCAGGAGCCTCACCTGCGGGGAGTGGGGGCTGTTGGTCACACTGTAAACACGGGGCAGAGATGAGCAAGCCCCTTGTCCCGGCCCAAAGCGCTGAAGCAGCTGTGTGCTGTGCTTCGGAACGGGGTTGGGGTGTGCTTGTGTGGGGTGTGTGTGTGTGTGTGTGTGTGTGTGTGTGTGTGTGTGTAAGGTGTATGCACGTGGATGTGGGGGGTACGCACGTGGATGTGTGGGTGTGGGTGTATGTGTGCAGGGTGTATGTATGTGGGGTGTGTGTATATGATGTGTGTGTGGAGTGTATATGGGGGTGTCTGTGTAAGGTATGTGTGTGTGGGGGGGGGTGTATGGCGGGTGTCTTGTGAAGTGTGTGTGGGGGTTTGTGGGAAGCAGCCTGTGACCGTCTGTCCTGAAGTCACCCTTTCTCATTTCTGTAGCACCTTTATAAATCAGCCTGACTTGTTCCCCTCAGGAAGAAAATGCAGGCCCTGAATCTGGGTCACCGGGGAACACAATGAATCAGTGGGGTTCCCGGGCCCTGTGCTTAGCAGCCGTCCCCTGTGATGCACAGTGAGCACCAGGAGGAACTGAGGCACCGATGTCTGTACAGGTTCAAGGAAGGAAACTTGAGATTTTATTGTGGGTTCATCTAACATCAAAATCATTTGATTAGAGGTCCAGTTTTCTTTCCCAGACTTCTTTCTGGTAGATAAACATGTTTTAGTAAGCCACTATTCACTGTTTTGTGTGTATAATTAAATGAAAATATGATAAATTAAGTCTTCTTTGGTCTTTTTGTCAATTTGGGCTTTTTCCGATCTTGTGAGCCCAGCTGCAGTGATTCACCTCCCTCCTCCCCCCATGCCCTTCTGAAACCGTGGCGAGCACCTGGTCACCGAATCTCCTCTCCAGACATGTGGGGTGGTTCTCAAGGTCAAACGCCAGGCCACGGTGTCCTTTGAGCTCCTGATCTGGTGGGACAGGTGCTAAGGAGGCACTTCTGTCACCCTTGTTCTGTATTCTGGTGAAATCCACTGTGCCCTCCTTGAAAAGTTTTGTGATTTTTTAAAAAAGATTTTATTTATTTATTTGTCAGAGAGCAAGCGAGCAAGAGAGCACAAGCAGGGGAGGAGCAGAGGAAGAGGGAGAAGCAGACTCCCTGTTGAGCAGGGGGCCTGACGTGAGGCTCCATCCCAGGACCCCGGGATCATGACCTGAGCCAAAGGCAGATGCTTAACCAACTGAGCCCCCATGTGCCCCAAGTTTTGTGATAGTTTTAAGTCTGAGAGAGACCAGTCCCATTGGAAGTCAGTTTTAGAGCTTCTTAGACCTATTTTATTGATTGTCTCATTTGGTCAAAAATACGATGTTCTCAAGCTTTCCTGTTTTGAGCCATGGTGGGTGTCCAACATTCCAATACATTTCCTGCTTCTCACTTGAAGCAAAATTGCATGTTCACCATTCTGGAAACTGACAAAGAAATTGCAATTACAGGAACACTCAGACAGTGAAGATAGTCAGGAAATATCCAGAAGTGTGATTTTTCCAGCAGTGATATCTGTAATAGTTGCTGTAATAGAGATTTCCTTGTTAGAAATTGTTTCCTTACGCAAACAATGTAACTCTTTGTTAAATGTGTGGGAAGCACAGAGTCACAGAAACAAAATGATATTTCTTCTCTTTCTAACTCCCAGGCAACCACTACCATCATTTTAATGCATTTCATCCCAGACTATATTCTGATCACAGTCTTGTCATAGTTTCTCACTTATACTTATAAAAACTCATCATTTATCACACTTCCTGTGTCTAGAATGTTGTGGTCAGAGTTAGAACTTTAAATTTGGGGCCTCGAACAAAATTTTGTAAAGAGACAGCTACTGTCATGAGGCCAACTCAACATTTTGAAAACCTCTCTCTCTCCTCCATTCCAAAGATCCCGGGCATTATATAAAGAATGGTATTAGTTCAGTTGAACTCATCTTTAAAACAGTGGCTGTGCCTGGCATGGGACACGCACAGAATGTCATGTGTGAGGGGTCGCATGTCCCCATTGCTGAGGAGCTGGGCAGCCACCTGCCACAAAGTGTCAGGAACACAGAATTTCAAACGTGTATCTCTCGAGGACGCGGGGAGGCTGCATCTGTAGGGATCCTATAGGAGCTGCCTCCCTTGCGTGCCTAATTCTCCTGGATCTCTTGACTGGGCAGCCTGATTTCCTCAGAACTCCTCCTTTCCATATCTTTTGGCCCAAGTGTTCCTTGGTGTACCCCTGAGAATGAGGCCAGTGAGCATTCGTCCCGTGTGGGGGGCAGCCCTCTCCCCCGTGGCCCCCGCCTCTGGTCCAACCAGCCTCTTTCTTCCTTCCTCAGGGTCCTGCTTTCAGGCCCAGTCCTGCTCCAGAGGGAGGCACCCAGCCCGTCCTAACCATGCAGAAGGGTTCCTTCACCCCGATCCTTACTGCCAGGACTTCAGTGACACCCAGGGTGACCAGGACTGTGTGGCTCTCAGCACAGAAATTTCCACCCCCTGGCAAACCAGGGTGGTTGGCCACCCTGAGCCTGGCAGCCCCATAAGGAGAACCGGGAGGTCAGTGCTGGTGTGAAAGGCTGAGCCCCATCCCTGTGGGCTCAGGGGTCCCCTGCTGGTCCACGGGGGCCAGGATCTCCTCTGCCCTGGTGGGCTGTGCCTGAGGGCTGAGCAGAAAACAACTTGAGTCAGAGGACCCGAGCTTTGGGTGCTGGAGAGGGGGACTGCACAGAGGTCAGTGTCTGCCCCTAGTGCTGCCACTGGACCCAGGAGTGGGTCCCGGGGGTCCCGTGTGGGGGTCAGAGGTGCTGCCTGCTTACCCCTAGGGTGAATAAGGAAACATTTTAAAAAGATTTATTTATTTATTTGAGATAGAGAGAAAGAGCAGTGGAGGAGGGGCAGAGGGAGAGAAAGAATCTCAAGGCAGACTCTGCACTAAGCCTGATGTGGGGCTCGATCCCACGACCCTGAGATCATGACCTGCGCTGAAATCAAGAGTCGGCCGCTTAGACCAGCTGAGCCCCCCAGGCGCTCTTGAATCATGAAAATGTCACCTGTGTCCGCGGCTCTCCATAGTTCGTTCTGTTGCTGTGAGTCTCACCGCTGATCTTTTAGCTACACATTCGCTACGGCCGTCTCTCTGAAGTCCTTGTGACCAGCCCTCACTTGGACATTCATACTGAAAGCTGGTCTTCAAAGAGCACTGTAAACACTGGTGATCACACACACACACACACACACACACACACACACACACACACACACCAGGTTTCAGTCCTCACTTCCTTCTCTGGGCACTTCCTGCTTCGCCAGCCTCAAGAATGCCGTGTTCTTTTTTTTTTTTTTTTTTAAGATTTACTTATTTATTTGAGAAAGAGAGAGAGAGAGAGAAAATCTCAAGCAGACTCCCTGCTGAGCCCAGGGCTTGATCCCAGAACCCTGAGATCATGACTTGAGCTGAAATCAAGAGTTGGATGTTTAACCGACTGCACCACCCAGACATCCCAGGAATACTGAGTGGTTTATCCTTCTGGCCACTTCTTTCCTGTCTTTTTTCCTCACTTCAATTTGTCCTGCTCCTAAGCACAAGGACAAGCTCCCGGACTTCTGTCCACACCTCGGAGCTCAGTTACAACCTCTCTGTGCGGAACTATTCCTGCATCTCTGCTATAGCCCCTCATTTAGGACCCAACACCATTATCACCATCATCACCACCATCACCATCATCATCACCACCACCACCATCATCATCACCACGATCACCATGATCACCACCATCATCACCATCATCATCACCACCATAACCACCACCACCATCACCACCATCACCACCATCATCATCACCATTGTAACCACCACCATCACCACCATCACCACCATCATCATGACTATCATCATCATGACTATCATCACCATCAGCACCATCACCACCATCACTACCATCACATCATGGCCATCACCATGATCACCCTCAGCTATTATTATGGGCCAAATACTGTAGGTGATATGCACTTTATGTGTCTGAAGCTCACATTAATCTTTTGTAAATCTTTAATCTTTATCTTATCAATGAGGAGACAGACTCCAGAGATTGACTGACTTGAAAAACAACTAATATGTGGCTGAGATGGATCTAAAGTCATGTCAAAAATCTCCAGTTACACAGACCTTCATTTCCTCACATTCTGTGTACCTTAAGTGAAACTCATTTCCTTCCTCTCAGACCAGTCTCTGTAACTTCACAGGAATATGTTAGAAACTTAGAAATAACTTTTCAGTTCTTAGCTCTCTGTCCTGTTGAGATGAAAAAATTGGCATCATTTTAATTCCTTCTTTGTCTTGTTTCTTACTAATTTTTCCAAAATATCTCCTAAATATGTATGAACTTTGGGATCAGATGACATGACTTTGAGCCTTAGCTTTTCAACTTATTAAGTGTATGAATTTTAGGAAGTTGCTTTATTTCTCTGAGTTTCAGTTTGACAACACCAACACTATCTTGTTCTGAGGATTAATGACATAGAATAAGGGACAAGTCAAGGAAGGAACCCAGAGCACCTCGGTGCCTGTCTTTAGACTACCAGCTATTCTTCCTTCCCCTCGATGACTCCCGCACGGTATCACTTCTTCTCCAGTCAGTTCCGTGAAGTTGCTCCCTGTCACTCCATGACTCACAAAGCTCTCCTGCTGTCCCATCCCTCTCTCTGTCCTCATGTGGCAGTCCATCTTTGCGCTTTCCTTGCCGGTGCTGTTTGCCTCCCTGCCCCCTCCTACCTGGCTAGATATTCCTCATCCCTCATGGTTGAGCGCCAGCCCTTCTTTTTTCACAAAGACTCTTCGGACCCGTGTCGTGGCTAGAAGAACACGCTCCCTCCCTCCTCTGAACTCTCCACCTCTCAATACCGTCTTCTCAGTGATGAAGATGCTGCCTTGCCGCACATAGCAGTGGTGCTAACACCAGGGATGTGTCTCTGCTTTCCAACTGTGAAAATTTCTTAAAGGAGGGAAAGAAATTGCATCACGTATCTGTACATAGTGGCATGCATGTGGTAGTTATCTGAAAATATGAACTTATAAGAGGTGGATTAGGTTGGAGGGGCTTTTATGAGTACAGTTTTCAGGCCAGATACTTTAGGGCGTAGAGTAACAGCGTGTCAAAACCCTACAGGCCCAAAGCTAGAGCAGGGAGTGAACATGAGGGATACATAGCTTGAAATCTTTGTAAATTCTAAAATTGGAGATGTCAGCAAAACTGGCAATCCCCACTGTAAAATACACTTTTATCCTAATGGGAATTTGCTGACATAATTTGATGAGTAGCATTTTCTTAATTCTATATGGAAGAAAAGAGGTAGATCCAAACAGCATGGCACAGATGTAAACCACTGCTGGGTTTGATACCCTGTTTTCAACGTAACCACTCCTACCTTCCCAACCACGTCACTGCTTTGGATTTCTCCTTCCCCCCTCTCCATCCCCCCCACTTCCAGCACCTGTTCTAACTGCTGCTTTTCTTGGGAATGGTGGCCTTTCTTTCTTTCTCTTTTTCTTTCTTTCTTCTTTTCTTTCTCTTTCTCTTTCTCTCTTCCTTCTTTCCTTGAAGAAGTATGTTTTGTTTTGATTTTTAAACATTTTTCATACATCTTTATGATTTCAGAGGAGGTCTAGTGTGCATGATGAAAAGTAGAGAACCATTCCAGTTATCTATGTAGCTGGCAAACCACCTGCAGTTGTGGCTCAAAACAATGATTTATTATTATTATTATTATTATTATTATTATTATTATTATTATTATCTCTTGTGGCTCTGGGGGTTGATTTGGCTCAGCTGAGTGGTTCTTGAGCAGTTTCAGTCAGAGGGAAGCTCATACCTGAGTCATCTGAAGGCTCTAGTGGGCAGGTTGGTGTCCCACCAGGCTGGCTGGTGTCAGGGATCCCAGCAGACTGTCTACATCCAACCTCTCCTTGCATGGTTTCTGCTGGGTTCCAAAAGGAAGCATGCATCCCAGGAGGCCCAGTAGGGAGCTGCATTTCTGTGACCCAGCCTTAGAAATCCCAGATTACTACTTCTACTCTATCCTATTGGCCAAGCAAGTCACCAGGTCCAATCTAGATTCAAGAAGATGGAAATTAGATTTTACTCTTGACATGTGAGCAGCACACTATATTGGGAGTAGAGGAATGGAAAGTGGCCATTTCTTACCTGTCACTATCACAAGAGGTACACAGAGCACCAAGGTCAGCTAGGTTTCCGCCATTCTGGCACACTGTCCTCTGGAACAAGACTCAGGCATGTTTCTCAGAAACATTGCACATGCCTAGGTTATGCACCTGCACAGTGGCTAGTGGGAATTGTTAAGGCAGTAAGGGCCAAGGGCCTACTAGACTGTTGAAGGGGCATCGATGTGCAGCCACATGTTCCTCAGCAGACACTGATCATCTGTGTGTGAATCATCTTTTGAAAGTACCCACAAAGTCAAAAGCATGTTGAATTCTCTGCCTTCCTTTAAGGAAACACTCAAGACAAGCCATGAGGAAGTCAATTTGACTAAAAAGCTATCTTTACACAATTGTTGCTTGAAATCATTTACATTTTTATGATTTTATAATGTTTATAATTTAAGAAATTTGTTTATTCATAATAATACACATTTCCCAAGTACCTGTTTTGCCTTCTAATTTTTTCCTTCCTAAGAGGGCCAGTGTGGATTCTCCGCTGGGTCTGCATGGCCAGATTCTCATTTCCTGCTGCATTTTAGTGGGTCCTGCAGCTGAGAGATGCCCCAGTGGTGAAACCCAGCAGTTAGAACAAATAGTCACTGGTAAGCTCGGACCTGCACATAACACCCTCACACTAAAGCAAACAGACTCCCCACGGTCTGAAGCAATTCCTTATGGACAGGGTATTCATTTACCAAACTGCAATTGGACTTTGTTCTGAATCAAATTTGCCATGTGCTGTCAAACTTTCAGACTGTAAAATTGTTTATATAAAATGCATAACTGCATACTGTATTTCTTGCTTTTTACATAGCTCACAATGTCTATGCAAATGAGCAGCACAATTTTAAATTTGAGGAAGATCTCCTAAGGGTGAGACCTTATGGGCTTTTTGATATAGGCCAGTTTCTAGAGACAAGAAGACAAAATGGGTCTGAGCTTCCTAAGGATGACCTATAATTTGGATTTGCTTTGAAACACAGAAGGGATATTGGAGCAAAGGTCACAGTGAGCACCGGGCAGCTGGTGCGTCCTGGAGTAGTGGCCTCAGAGATGGAACGGTTGAACAGGAAGGCTGCTCGGCGGCCACGTCTCATGCTCTGTTGACCCATCTCTCCCTGGGGGCCGAAGAGGAGCGCCAGGGAGGAGGTCAGGCCTAGGGAGGTTCTCCCACCTTCTGCCTCCCTGAGCTCCACTTCTGAAAGGGGGTCTGCAACCTGCCACAGGTCTCAGTGTTGTCCAGGTAAGGAGCTGTGCCTGAGCCTCTACTCCACGGGTTTCTCCATGTGTCTGCATGATGTCCCTTTCCTCAACATGCCACTTTCCTAGTTTCTGTTTTTTGGGGGCAGTTTCTTAGCAAGATCAGATGTGTTTTTCCTTTTTTTTTTTTTTTTTTTTTTTAGGCAGACCAAGTCCAGGGCTGTAATTGCTATGAAAGGGCTGACTTCTCCACCTGCCTGCCGAACAAGGCCATCAAAGGGGATGTTAGTGGGACTGGGAAGAGAGTGCAGGATGCATGCATTCCCCAATTCCCCAGGGGAGCTGTGTCTTCCTCTGTGAGGGGTTTGAGGCCCCTAGCAGGCAGGTCTTCCAGGAGCTTCCACGCACAGCAAGAAGCAGAACCTCAGAGGTTGGGGGAAGTGGTGAAGGGGGAAGATGATGAGGTAAAGGAGGGAGGAAGAGCAAAAGGTGCTCCCTTTTGTCTCCAGCAACCATCAGCCTGCTGCGGGGCAGGGACGAAGAGGGAAGTCACACAGAGGGGTTCCTCTCACACAGAAGAGGGGATAGGGCACCCTGCATAGATGGACATCTCAAGCTCTGTCAAAGAGCAACACCTCGGGACTTAGTATGGAGAGATTTTTATTCAAAAGGACTCTTGTCAGGTAGGGACAATGGCAGTGGGTCTCCCTGTGACCATAAGGTCTGTGAGTGGCTCAGAATCAAACAGAAGAAGGCTTTTCTTCTACAGGGTCAGGGGAAGAAACAGGAGAAGCAGACTGTTGGGGAGGGGGGACAGCTGGACAAAGGGAATGACCTGTTCTGCCAGGAAAAACGACCTGCTGTGGTCAGCCAGTTCCCAAGAGAAGCTGACAAGGGGACATGCTCGCTCGGGGTCAGGGACAAGCAGGGTTCAGGAGTCTATGGGAAGGCGTGAAGGCTGACTAGCATCCGAGCCCGATATGCAGGGTGAGCCCCGAGCGGTTGTGGGCGCCCAGTGAGCTCAGGGAGGAAGCAGAGATGCTCGGCTCTGTGGGCCTGGCAGCCCCAGCTGGTCCGGTCCTGGCTTGCATTGATCTCTGTGTCCCTTTGCTGTAAAACATTTGGTATTTCCTGAGACTCGATTCACAGCAGCACACTTTATGATGACCAACACCTTTATGATTCCAGAACTCTTTCTCCTTCTTCCTTTCCTTTTTTTTTTTTTGCATTTTTTAAATCACTCACACCTAAAAATGAGTTCCCCAAGCAAATCATCAGTTGCTACCTCTAACGCAAGGCACTCAGATCTGTTACCTGCCATCTCGTAAAGATCACGCGCCCAGCTTTTAGGGACTTGTATTTACGGCCTAAATCACACAACAATAGCTCATATTCGTTGAGAGCCTGCTCTGGGTGAGCGCCGTTCTCCCTGCTTCCCAAGGATCCACCCCGTATTTCTCAGGACACTCTGAGGCAAGAGCCACTCGGCCGTTAATCTGACAGAAGAAGGAACTGTGGAGTCCCCACAGGGTCAGGAGCCTACCTGCGGGTGCACAGATTTTGGGGGAAATCCAGGCACAGGGGCTCCAGGGGCTGCCCTAACCACAGTCTCATGTACCCGTTCCCAAACACGTCTACGCCTTCCCAGGCAGTTTGCAAAGTGTCCTTCCTTGCTCATGGGAAATAATTAGGCACAGGAGTGAGAAGGTCTGAGCACACACCGTTGCCACAAGTGGAGAAGCAGCTCGAAGTCACTGTGAGGAGCACCGCCACCCAGGTCCTGAACCTCTCCTCAGCTCCTCCTCAGGCGTGACTTGGCTTCCAGGGAGTCATATGATTATTTTATACCCCACAGGTTATACATGGTTAATCTTCTGCATTTGGGCAAATAGGCGTTACTTTTAAGTAGGAAGTGGTAGTTCAGCAATTTGCTTTTGGCCAATTCTGGTCTCTCACTACTTTTTTCTTAATGGCTATTAGAAATTGCACCTCGTCAAGAGAATCACAGTGGTGACGTGAAGCATCACCAGGAGGGGTGTAACAGGACAAGTCCCGTTGGATCACGGCGTTTCTAAGGTGAGCACGGCCAAGCCCCTCGCTTCTTTCAAACTGCATTCATTTCTTTGATACCCTTGCCTGAGGGGCATCAGGAGTTCCAGAACACTGGCCTGGAGAGTGTGTTGCCCTTGATAAAGCAGTCTTGCTTTTGCAAAGACATTGTCTTTCTGGCTTTAGGAACAGGATCGTGCTTCCAAAAATCTCCCTTTTCCTTCAAGTGTGCAGTGAGCGATTTTATCGTAATTGCCTTTGCCCTGGAGCGTCAGGGATGGTTTGGGCATTGATTCTTCCCATAGTTAAATACCCGCAGGGCAGCGGTCTTGAGGGAAATGCAGTCATTTATTTAACACAAGAAGTCTGAAGAGCTAAAGACTAAGCTAAGAAATGTTTTGAAACCAATGCAAAATGTGATCTGTGCAATGGAAGATAGTGAGTGGGCATTTTGAGTAGCTGGGGATTGAGTGGGAAGGAGCTTATAAGGTGTTGTTTAAGAGAAATTGATAGGGTGGAAATTTTTATGAGACTCGGGGCAATACAGAAAAAGCTCTGATAATGTCTGCAAATGCCATAATGATTAGGAAGTCAGTGTCTCATGACCACAGGAGAAAGCATAATGATCTTTGAGAGAGTCTGCCATAGATTCCCTCCAAAGCCTATACAGTAGCAGAAACAGATTGTGGAGATCAACCCTGTAAAGAGATAAATGCAAGGTCTGCATTAAATCTATTCTTGCAAGGATTAAAAGTATGATTTCTGCAAATAAAAAAGCAAATATAAAAGTGAGCTTCCAAAGAAGTGAAAAAAACCAAAAGAAAAAAAATTTACAAACCTATATACAAATCACTGGAAAAAACCTTCTGGCTTCTCTCTTAACCGCTCTTATTCGAAAGCAGAAGGAAGCCAGCCTAGAGTTTCAGCTTGGCTGATGTTTATCTAAAAAAGGATAAAACACTGTGTGCCCATGATTCAAATGAACTGAGAAAACATACATTTATTGAATACCTGTAGTTGCAGTATAAGAGATTCTGGTATCAATTAAAAGGTTTGAAAATATATGTATTATCTAAGATCTTGTGAGAATTTAGTCCTTCAGGAAGACCCTGTGGAGACAAAGTGAATTAGAGTGTTAAGAGTGAACAGTCCTCTAGTCTTCCATCTGAAAAATGGGTATAGTGTCTACCTTAAAGGGTTTTTGTTAAAAGAGATAATAGATGTAAAGCAGTGATCCCGGTGTCCAGTATGCAATTATAACTTAATTTATAGCACACCCCCAGAGTGATCTCACACACATGCATGTATACACACATATGTGCACACACCAGTATACAAACATGCACGCACACAACATATGCACACCCACATAAACACAGGTATGCACACGCATGCACACAACACACACATGCGTGCATATACACACGTGACCTATCTACACTCATACTCTTATGCACACGTGTATATGCACACACATACACACTCTTATTTAGTTCTTGTTCTGTATCTTGTGGGCCATCACTATTTATGAAAGTAAGTACAGATTTAAAATCTGCTTTCATTTAATTTTTAACTGTTAAACTTGTTAGAAACTAAGTTAAAATTTTAGCAGTTTTCCTTGCTGATAATATTTTGATGTCTTATTAATGTTTTCCCCACACTTAGTTTTCTTGGGTAGAGTCTGCCCTTGGCCAAAGGACAAGCAGTGGGAGTTGGTGTGTTGGCTGCCCCTTCTGCTTTTCCAGACCTCGTTTCTTCTCTAGGGGCTCCTACTTCCCGTTTGCGGCCCCTCTGCCTGCACCCACTCCTGGTCCCAACAGAGAGTGACCAGCCTGAGCGTGTGTCGGTTAGCGGGTCCCAGCTAGGACCCTTGCTGCTAAGAACTAGCAATGTTTCCTACCTGCCCCTGGTCAGGTGACTGAAGAACTCCCAGAGCTCTCAGAGTTCAGGGAACAGAGGTGCGGCGGGATTCCTCTGCTCGCGGGGGGCGCACTTGTGTTGAGGGGGGATGGACTGGTGCCTGGCTTCCCCTCAGCTGTAGTGGGTGCGCTGGTACCCTTCCTTGGCTTCCTGGGCTGGCTCTGGTTTTTAGGTCATGTAGTATCAGAGTTTCTTTTCTTTTCTTTTCTTTTCTTTTTTTTTAAGATTTATTTAATTATTTGAGCGAGAGAGACAGTGGGGGGAGGGGAAAGGATGAGAGGGAGGGAGAGGGAGAATCTCAAGCAGACTCTGTGCTGAGTGTGGAGCTTGACGTGGGGCTCGATTCCATGACCCTGAGATCATGACCTGAGCCAAAACCGAGAGTTGGGCGCCCAGCTGACTGAGCCCTCAGGCGCCCCTGTTCATCTCATTCCTGCATGACTTAGTTAGCTGTTAGTTTCTGAGACTTTTTGCATGTGGTATCTGACAAAAATTGTACAGGAAGTCACACTCTCTTATTGCAATAAAAATATAAGTTAACATTTTAAATGCTATTTTTAAAATGTTACTCTAAGTAACATTGAATTTTTCTTAAAGTAACACTTTCTTTTTATGGGCAGTAACAAAGTCTTTGAAATTTTAAAGACCGAAAAGCAGGGACTAAATAATCATTGACCACATGCATACATGTAATGCTGGGGTTGAGCACACCTGCTTTCCATTTAGAAGGGTGATATGTTCATATGGCTTCAAACTTTAAATACAAAAGTCTCATGAGATTTAACTTAGCGCTATGTGCCTCTAAAACAGGAAGGGGAGACCCAAGAAGGCCTATCTTTTAATGAAAGTCCAGTTCTGAGCATGCTCACTGTGAGAAGGGAGTCACTCAGGGGTTACTTCGAGCCTCTAATTCCGAGGGTGAGTGGGTCTGGGAAGTTGTAATTGCTCAAGCAAGCAGCGCTCTGAAGAGCCATTGATGAGAAACTGCTGTGTCAGTATCCAAGGGGAGGTTGCGGTTAGTGGCATTTCCCAAACTTATGAACCACAGAGCCATCTCCCCGCCAATCTCCCTCCCTTCTTCCCACCCAGAGCCTTCCTGGGAACCACTTTCAAAAGCTGGTCTATCCCAGTGCTCTGGTCCCTTGAAGCTGGGATTCCCTCGGGAGCAGCAGTTCCCACACATGAATATGGGGGAGAGTAATGTGGACAGTGTGCGGGACCCAAGAGCTGAGTGGTCAAAGCAGACATCCACAGGACCTATGGCTCTCGCCCGACATCAAATTTTCCGCAGGGAAGCACCAGGCACATTCCCGGAGGAGCCCCAGACCCTTAGACATAGCTCACCAGAAACGGGTTTCAGTAACAAATCAACATGAAGTGTTATGGAGAGTGTGTGTGAAAACATTGTCACAAAGGTCCCCAGTTTATACCCACTCATCATGCAAACAGGAGATCCCTGGGTGCCTAATTCCCGTCCTCCCATGGACAGTGCCCCTCGTCCATAAAATCCAGTTTGCCTGCAGTCAGGGGTGTAGGTATACAAGTATAGTCTGCTTAGAAGCATGTCTAGACATTTAGATAGGGACGCCCAGGTCTCCGTCCCTTGGCAAAGGCCATTGGTGTATTTCCAAGGAGGGCTGGTCCAGGTTCACGGTCACTGGAGCCCCAGCTGAAAGGCGGGAGATGCAGCCTACTGGTCAGCCTGCCTTTCCAAAGGGCTGCATCTCCAGAAATTCTGATTCAGTGGGTCCGATCCACCTCCCAGCCTCCTCATTTTCCGTAAAGACTCACCCACCTGTGCTTGACAGAGAAGCATCTCCTGAGGGGCCCGTGCCGTTCTTGCTAAACGGTCCAACTGTTCTTCTGATGCTAGGTCACAGTCTGTCTGTGTAACCTCCACTCGTGGGAGTGTAAGGCTAGACCCTCTTTCACATGACGACCTTGCAGGTTAGTTGATGACTTCATTCCTACCCGACCTGTCATTGTCTTGAGGCTAGGCAACTGGCACTCGCAGGCGTGGTGACTGGTTGCTTCTCATTGGCCTGGCCGTTGGGCCTCACCTGATTCTGGCTGCTCACGTTTCCTGTAGCACCATCAGAATTACCGTGGAAGTCTGACCAGAGCAGAGTCACCGGAACTATTACCTACCTCATTCTAAACCCTAGAGTTTTACTGATTTGACCTAAAAAAACAAATTAATTTTAACAGGATGCATTTAGCGAGCACTGTTTTTAGTTTTCTATTGCTGTCATAACAAAATCAGCAGCTTCAGCCACACAGACCGCGTACTGTAGGTCAGGGTCCAGGGCAGGTCTGACCAGGCTAGAGTGGAGCTGTTGGCAGGGGTGTTCCTCTTCGAGTTTCTCAAAAAAGGATCTGTCTCCTTGCTCAATCAAACCGTGGCCAGAAATCAGCTCTTTGTGGCCGTAGGACTGACATCCCCATTCTTCATGTTGGCTGTCGGGGGGGCCGGTCCCAGCTCGCAGAGCCTACCCACCTGCTTGGTCCTCAAAGCAACGATGGACCGAGTCCTCCCATGCTTCGAGTCTCTTCTCTTCCCTCTTCCATCTCAGCTGGGAAAGATCCCACTTTTAAGGACTCAAGAAGCGGCATGGGACCCACCTGGATAACCCAGGGTCATCTCCCCACCTCAGGGTTCAAACGCTTAGTCCTTTTGGCATGGAAAGACATGTTTCCCCAGGTTCTGGGGACTAGGGCACGGGCATCTCTTGGGCCCTGCTTCTGCTAACCGCACACACTGACCCTGTCTATCAGAACAGTGTGTCTGTGAGTAAGTGTGCAAGCAGCATGTGATCGAGGTGGGAAAATACGATGTAGATGCAGGTAACCTTCCGTTAGACGCTCGGTTAGCTGATGCTATATCTGCTGTATAGATTCAGTCATCTCTCAGTGAAATTGCTATCAAATAAAACTCTTAATATTGATCCTGCTGCTAAGCTTTCATTTTCTATCCGTGTAATTGACTATTCAAATCCAAGCCACAGAACCTCCTATTTTCCCCACTGAATTTTATCCTATGACTTTCGACCCATTGTTTGATTCCGTCCAGGGTTTTATCACGTTGGTTCTGTCACATCCAATATAATGATTCTAGTCTTAGGCGTCTCGTCATCTTCAGACCTGATGGGCTTGCCTCCTCTATTTTTGGCCCTCACAGTCATAAAAATAGCGGGTAGCCCAGGGCTCAGGACAGAGCCCAGCATGGTGCCAGTAAGGGTCTTGCACTGGGCAGTCACCCAGCTCATAACCACTCATTGTCTTTCACCTAGATCATACTTCCACATCTTGAGGACTTACAAATTTCAGACTTAATCTTAGATTTGCAGTGTCTACAATGCCTCCTTGCTCTGCAAGCTGGTGACCATGACAAGCAGGCTTGGAGTGTGGGCCCACCCGCCTGAGCACTTGGCGCTTCCATCCCGGGCTGCCCCGGAGCCCTTCCTAACACACGTCAGCATCCTGCCTGGCATCTGCACCAGGGCGTTGATCTTCTCTGTCTCTGCAAACGAGCTTTGAGAGTTCTTACACAGTCTGTTCTCTGGTGGGACTCCCTGGGCATCAGTCACCGGATCTGGGCCTCCTGGTTCCTGCGTCTCACTCGGTGCCATGCCACAGTGGGCCGGACGTGAGACCCCAGGGGCGCGAGGCGGCGGGAGCCTGTGAGGGGCTGAGGCTCAGGCAGGTGGTGATAGTGGGTGCCTGAGCCAGCAACAGTCGGCACTTTACTCAAAGCAGTGGAGTACCAGGCAAGAAGGCTCCTCACTGCAAAACCAGGTTTGAACAGAGTAGTGTTTCTAAGCGTGTCATCATGATTTCCCCTCAGAAGCCTCAAAATTTCCTCCCAAGGACAATTCAGAACAGTTGGTCCCACAGATTCTCTTCATACCAACTGGTTCTGGGGAAGTGTTCGTATTCCCGGCTGTGGGACAGACAGTGACTTAGGAAATACTCGAGTTTCAAAGATAAGCAAATTACATTTTAAGAATTGGTTGAGCCGGCGCCTTTAGATGTGATCTTCAAAATAAGACCTGGCAAGAATGGTGGTGATAACAGGGATATGCTAGGGAGAGAGAGAGAGAGAGAGAGAGAGAGAGAGAGAGAGAGAGAGATGAGCTTTAAAAACAAGGTGGGGCAAGCCTTCTGCATCCGGAAACTTCGAGACTGTGGGTTTGTCAGCTCAGTGAAGAACGGACGTGTCCTCTGCGGCGGCCGCCAACCCCCAGTAGATAAGACAGTACACACTCCCCCCCACCCCATTCAGTGAAGAAGGTCTTCAAAAATGTCTTCATGGCTTTACCATCTCAACGTTTGGAACAAAGAAGTCCAGAACTTGTTGTTTCTCCAAAAAGGTAACATTTGCTACCCAAGATCTGAGGTAATTTACTTGCGCCAAACATGTATAGGCTTCCTTATGGGTCGTGGTGGCCCAGATGCTAATCTGTCACCAATACAATTTCCTTAACACAATTCGCATGATTTTTGTGGTGATGATGGTGGTCTGGGGCAGACTGAATCATTTCCAATCGCGGTGAGTGACTGGCATCCCTGTAAATGTGACAACAGTGTTTTTTATTGAGAACACTGATTCTTAACCACAACAGCATTGAATTCACTGCTGTCCAGATTTGTAGATTGTTCATACTGAGCAGGTGCAAACACCCCATGCCCCCCAACCTGGCCTGAGCACCCCGTCCCCCCCGGGGCCGCCCACCCAGCTCCTCGGGTGGACACCCTCTAGGAAGGCCCTCTGGACGCTGGCCTTTTCTTCGCCGAGAGCCGTCCACTTGTTTTTCTCGGCCTCGCAGGATTTTGCTGCGAGTGTTGCGTCGGTTTACCCGACAGCTGCTTGGAGCTGGAGCTGACCTGTGACTCATGCTCATATATCCCCAGTGTCATCCTCAACAGAGAGCTCCTAAGCGTTTGTTGAGCGGAATTGAATTTGAATTCAGAAGACATTATAGGTCATGGTGTGGTTAAAGAAACCATTTCTCTGAAGCGGGGTTCCAGCTGGGGTTCCAGCTGGGCACCGCGTCCGCAGTGCAGGGGGACGTCCCCTTTTCACAGGCGCTCTGCTGCCCGCTCCGTCGTCAGCCACCAGCCTCCGCGTGACCCCACCCCAGCGACCCCACCGCCCTGGGAGCCCATACAGCCCCCAGGCTTGCCGTGCGGTCGGTCCCCTGAGTCCCTCTGGCGGCCCCGTGGCCCCCGTGCTGTGTCTGCCCCGCCTCCCTTCACTTGTCCCCCACAGCCCCCAGTCTGTGTTTTCCCTCCTTCAGGGGCTGCCTCAAGTCCTGCCTTGCTCACGAACCTGCACACGCCCCTCCGTCCTTGGGGAGGACTCCGACCTACGGCACCTGTTGTCTTAACCAGCGCGTTTGTATGGACCTGTGTGCAGTTATTTTATTCACTCTCTTGGGGTATAACTTACACACAGTGAACGTCACCAACTGGAAGTACCTGAGTCAATGCGTGTTGACAAGTGCCCATCAACATCACAATCCTGATAGGGAACATTTCCGTCAACCCGGAAAGGTCCCCGTGCCCCCTTCAGCCAATCTCTTCTCATCCCTGACCTATGACAGTCAGGACTGGATTTCCATCACTCCTCTTTTGCTTTCTCTAGAATTTCACGTAAATGGAATAATGCCGTGCCTGGTCCTAGATGTCTGGATTCTTTACCCAGCAAAATGCCTTTGCGATTCCCCCCCATGGAGCGGACATCAGGACTTTGTTCCTTTTGGTTGGTGGGCAGTGTTCTGTGATATGGAGTTGGTACGACTTACTTGTCTGTTCACCTGCTGATGGAAGCTTTGGTTCGTTACGATCCAGGACTGTTACGTGTAAACCTGCCATGAACATTCAAGTACTAGTCTTTCGTTTTCATTTCTCTTGGCTAAATATGTAAGAGTCAGTTGCTGGTTCACATGGTAAGTGCATGTTTAACGTTACATGACATCGCCCCATGGTCTTCTCAAAGTGGCCGTGTGACTTCGCCTTCCCACTGCCGGGGCTGAGCACTGGCCAGCTCCCATGTCTCCATCCGTGCCTCCTGTCTCGTCCGTCTCTGACTTTCAACAATCGAGTGGGTGACAAATGGTGTCTCATTGCATTTTTAATTTGCATTTCTCTAATGACTCATCCACTGAAAAAGTTTTCTGTGCATAATTGCCACCCATGTATTTCCTTTGGTGAACTCACTTCACATTTTTTGCCTGTTTCTTATCGAGTTGTGTCTTCTTGACATTGAATTGTAAGAGTTCTTCGTATATTCTGGATACAATTCATGATCAGATACAAGTTTACAAAAATTTTTTCCCATTCCGTGGTCTGTTTTTATTTTTCTTAAGTGTCTTTCAAAAAGCAGAAGTTCTAAATTCTGATCAAGTACACATTTTTTTTAAAAATTTTATTGTGTTATGTGAGTCACCATACAATACATCATTAGTTTCTGATGTGGTGATCCACGATCCATTGTTTTTGTATAACAAATTTTTTTTAAAGATTTTATTTATTTATTTGTCAGAGAGAGATAGAGAGAACATGAGCACAAGTAGCGGGGAGGGGCAGAGGGAGAAGCAGATGCCCTGCTGAGCAGGGAGCCCAACGTGGGGCTCGATCCCAGGACCCTGGGATCGGGACCCGAGCTGAAGCAGATGCTTCACCGCCTGAGCCACCCAGGCGCCCCTTAAATTCTGATGAGTTACAATTTATCAATTTTTATTTATTTATTTTTTTTTTACAGTTCATGCCTTTTGCAACTTAGATAAGGAATCTCTACCATTCCCAAGGGCACAAAGATTTTCTTTTCTGTTTTCCTCAGATGTTTTATGGTTTTGGTTCTCACATTTAGATCTATAATTCGTTTTGAGTTATTTTTTTGTTTGTAGAGTGAGGTAAAAGAAATGATCAACCTCTTGTGCATGAACATCCAGTTGTCCTAGCACCATCTGTTGAAAAGACTGTTATTTCCCTCTCGAATTACCTTGGCATCTTGTTAAGAATCAGTTGGTTGTGGGTGTGTGGGTCTATTTCTGGACTCTATTCTGGTCCATTGATTTCTGTATCTATCCCTTTACCAATACCATGTTGTCATGATTCCTGTGTCTTCATAGTATGTCTTGAAATCAGGTAGTATGACTCTTACAACTCTGTGCTCTTTTTCAAAATGGTTTTGGCTCTTCTAAATCCCTTGGATTTCTATATAAATTTCAGGATCAGGCTGCCAGTTTCTTCCAAAAATCCTGCCACCATTTTGATTTGGATCGTGTTGTATCTGTAGATCATTTTGAAGAGAACCAACATCTTAATATTGGATTGTTTAATCCGGAACCTGATACACTTCTCCTTTAACTTAGATCTTAATTTCTCTCAGCAGTGTTTTATAGTTTTCAACATGGAAATCTTGTATCAATTTTTAAGATGTAGTCATATAAGTATTTTATTTCATGTTTTTTGATGCTATTATGATTTTTTTCCAGTCTCAATTGCCAAATATTCCAAATATTGTAGGGCATAGAATTACAATTGATTTGTGTATATTAATCCTCATCAGTGTATTTTTCATTTTATGTGTTCTGTATTTCATCTATAGAACATTTATTTGGGTCTTTTTTATGCTTTTTGTCATTTTCTTGATCGTATGGGTGCTTACCTCTACCTTCTTGAGCATCTGGAGCATACTGATAGTAATTATCAGAGCAGGTTTTTCTGTCGTCTCTGTCATTCTTGTTTCTTCATGTCATTATGGGCCATATTTTCCTGTTTCTTCAAAAGTCTGTGTCATGGTCAGTGTGAGAGGCTGTAACAGATGTCCACAGGCAGGGTAGGTTGAACAGGACCCATTTATTTCTCACAGTTCTGGAGGCTGGGAGGTCCAAGGTCCAGGTGCCAGCAGACCCAGTGTCTGGTGAGGATCCCCTGGTTCAGTCTTCTTGTCCTCAGGAGGCAGGGAGCAGAGAGGAAGCAAGCTCTCTGTGTCTCTTCTTATGAGGACACTAATCCCATTCATGAGGGGAGGTGCCACCTCTAAATGCCACCCCCTTGGGGATTAGGCTTCAGCGTATGAATTTTGGGGAGACACAGACATTCAGCCTCCAATGGTCTAGACATTTTTGTTTGGATGCCTGACATGAATTTTACATGGCTGAAGGCTGGAATTCGTTGTGTGCCTTTAAATGATTTGGGGCTTTGTTCTGGGATGTAGTTATGTTATTAGAATCAGATGGGTCACCTGAGACTGTCCTTCAAGCTTTGTTGTGGCAGGCCCAGAGTAGTGTTTAAAGTAGGATTATTTTAGGTGTATTACTCCTCAAACGGTATTGTTCTGAGGATGCTGTCCCATGCCTTGTGACTTAGAAGGTGCTGCTACACCTTCTGTGGGAAAGAACTATTTTAGCCCGTGAGGGATCTGAGGATTTCTCTGCCTCTTCCTTCTTGAAACGTTCTTGCATTACTTCCTTTCAAGGACGCCTCTCTGCAGTTCTCCTTTCTCCGTGTGTAGCTCCCTCCTCTCCCAAATACCTTGTCTTGCCCCGACCTTCCAGAACCCTGATCCCTGTGTCCTCAGTGAGGTCCCCATTCCCTGTTCAGGATGTCCCCATGCTCTGCAGTTGGAAACTGCTTCCTTGGAAACTGGGGGCTTCCCAAAGCTCAGGTCATAGCTCACTTCATCTGTTCTCTTCTGGTCAGGGACCTTACTCTTGTGACGTCTGTTAACATATTTTACAGGTTTTTCTGGTTGTTTAATGCAGTAAAGTACATTTGGTTTCTGTGAATCCATCATGGCTGGAACCATAAATCTTGTAGTCTTGTTTGATTGACATGTTTCATTTGATAATTAGATTGATATGTTTATCTCCTCATATGCTTTTGCAACACCAAGGCTTTATGTTGTAGCTTTTCTGCATGCCCTAAAGCCCTCAGTGAGAACGCACAGCTGCAGGTCACTGCAGAAGTGCACAGGTGACACCCCCCCCTCCGCCCCCAGTGTCATGTCCAGAGCAATCGCTGAGAGGCAGCAAAGGCTCGCTCTCCAAGTGATGGCTCCAGGCATTAGGGAGGAAATGGGGTTGGGGCCACCTGACCTGTGACTGTGTAAGCAACACAACGAGAATCAAGTGATATGAGAAGTACGTTCAGAAAATCCTCAGGGTGAGCTTTGTGTAATACTGACTTCCTCCCCAAAATGTCGGGTATCAATATTGACCGTGTAGGTGAGGACTGACGAACTTCTTGAGCCTGGCTCCGTGCATCACCCCTTGGGCATTCCCAGCACATCACCTGCTCCGTGCAGCTTGGTTGGTAACAGTCACCTTGAACCAGAGGGTTCGGCCACACTGCTGCTGCACAGGTCAGTACTCTCTATTCCTTTCCACCTGCTCGCCTTCTCTGCCATCCCTTTGCCTGCCTCACGCCCGTTCTCCAAGGACCGAGGGGGCCTGTCCAACGAGCCATCCTGAACCACACTAACCTTGACCTTTCTTCCCCCAGCCTGGTTTCGGATGATTATGATGTGTCTGCCCCAGCAGATTGGTGCCTGTTAACTCTAGTGCACGCTGACAATATCTGCGTCTTGTGGGAAATACATATATACGTTCCTAACGCCTTTCAAGCCAGAGAACCTTATTCAGCATATCTCGAGAATGACTCCCACGCTCAAACTTTAAAAAATTCTACAAGAGATTCTCACATGCCCAGCTGGGTGAAAAAAAGTGAATCATACTGTAAGCTATAAATCATAAGTATTCTAGACACACCTGCAGTTCTGTGGATTTTGTTCAGTGGAACGCTGTTGAGTGTCATTAAATTGCGTTTTGCACCAAGATTTCTGTGCAGATCAGAATCTGTGGTTTTGCTGGTATCTCCCTTCTTTATACCATAGATCAGGGATTGACAAATTGTAGCCATGGCAACCAAGTCTGGCGGAGCCCATTCATGTGTGAAGTTGTCTCCTGTTGGTCTCAAGCTGCCAGGGCAGATTCCAGTTGTTGGGACAGAGACTATAGGACCTGCAGAACCTAAAATACTTACTGTCTGGTCTTTTGCAGAAAGAGCCTGCAGACCCTTGTTCTAAATGAATATTTTCCTGCAAAATAGCACTCCGTGCACCCTTTGTGTCCAAGTGAAATGGAATGCTAGTAACGTCATTCTCGGGCTCCAGAATACTTGTCTCAATCACAGTGTGTCTTGCTTTCTTTCCTCCTTAGATTCACTTCCCCCCTGTTATCTCTGCTGGTGAACCAGAGTGGTTGAACTTCCACCCCCTTCTATACCAGGCCCGCCTTTTCTGCCAAGAGTAAGCACCACAATGAGTGGGGTGAGCATCTCTCTTACTGTGGTTAGCAGTGTAATTTCGGTCAGCTGTGGCTACCTGCACATTGCGCTACAGTTAACTCTACCTTTGTTCACTTTCCAGGAAGCAATGAATTTCAGCACCGTCTTCAACTTCAATGAGGACTATTTTGGGTCGGGTAATATTTCGGATTATTCATTTGATGATGACACCTTACTGTGTTCCTTGCAAGAGGTCAGAAAATTCTCTGGGCTCTTTGTGCCCATGGCTTACTCCCTGATATGTGTCTTTGGCCTTCTGGGCAACATTTTGGTGGTGGTCACCTTTGCTTTTTATAAGAAAGCCAAGTCCATGACAGACGTTTATCTCTTGAATATGGCCATTGCTGACATTCTGTTCGTTCTCACCCTCCCGTTCTGGGCTGTTAGCCACGCCACGGGTGAGTGGATTTTCAGCAATGCCCTATGCAAGCTGATGAAGGGCATCTACGCCGTCAACTTCAACTGTGGGATGCTGCTCCTGGCCTGCATCAGCATGGACCGCTACATCGCCATCGTGCAGGCCACCAAGTCGTTCCGGCTGCGGTCCAGAACCCTGGCGCACCGCAGGATGATCTGCTTGGTGGTGTGGGTGGTGTCAGTGCTCATCTCCAGCTGGACGTTCGTGTTCAACCAGAAGTACAGTGTGCAGGGCAGCGACGTGTGCGAGCCCCGCTACCACGAGGGCTCCGACCCCATCAAGTGGAAGCTGCTGATGCTGGGGCTTCAGCTCCTCTTTGGCTTCTTCATTCCCCTGGTGTTTATGATTTTCTGCTACATGTTCATCGTCAAAACCCTAGTGCAGGCTCAGAACTCCAAGCGGCACAAGGCTATCCGCGTCATTATCGCCGTGGTGCTGGTGTTTCTGGCTTGCCAGATCCCCCACAACATGGTGCTCCTGGTGACAGCCGTGCAGCTGGGCAGGATGAACCGCTCCTGCCATGGCCAGAAGCTGCTGGGCTACAGCACCAACGTCACCGAGGTCCTAGCCTTCCTGCACTGCTGTCTCAACCCCGTGCTCTATGCCTTCATTGGGCAGAAGTTTAGGAGCTACTTTCTGAAGATCGTGAAGGATCTGTGGTGTGTGCGACGGAGGCAGAAGGCGCCGGGCTTCTCCTGCTCCAGGCTGTACTCAGAAACCTTCACCTCCAGGCAGAACAGTGAGACCGTGGACAACGAAAACGCGTCGTCCTTCACCATGTGACCGGCCCGGAGCGGGCGGTGCCCGGGGGCTCGGGGATGGTAGACGTGCACTCAGGAGCACTGTCCTCCTGCAGCCCCAAGCCCCCAGGGTACCCTACAGCTGGCCTTCCCCAAAGCAGGCCCCGGGGAATGCCGAATTGGAGCCAACTGTGCACAAGTGTGGATGTTTTCAGGAATATTAGTGAAGAAGCTCTAGAGCACAGTTTCTCCTGATCACAGCAAAATGCACAGGGTTTGGAAAACCAAGACGGAAAAAAATCACTTAAGAGCCCTCGCACAACTCATTTCAGGCAGAAGGTGAAACACTTCACCCAAGCTGGGAAAGTGGCGTGGGGAGATGGACAGTGGCTGGATACGCACTGGTGTTGATTGAACCACGGATAAGGCAGATCAGGTGGTAACAGGCCATCGGGAAAGTGTATGTTTGCTTTATTTCCCCAAGAAAATGTTCTCTGCAGTCGGTAATTCTCCCAAAATCTGGTAGAGGTCCATGAAGCCACATAGCAACAGCATACATTCAGCACACAGAGGGGCTCAGTAACTATTTGTTACATAAATCGGAGTGGAAGTGGGGACCGTTTAGAGTGTAAGGTGTCTAAATTACCCTCTTTTAAAAAGTGCAAGGAAGCTTCCTTGAGACAACACAGAAAGAGCTTTTGTTCCACGCCCAGCAGCAGAAGCAGCACAGAGAGGACCCTTGTGCCAAGGGCTTCGGGGTCGGCAAGGAGCTGGGATCCTTCACTTCCGCTGCTGACTTTAAGGTGGTTTTACCCAAAGTCTGAGGTTGATCATGGAATCCAATTTCTAGCTTCTAGAAAGTTCTTAGAACTCAAGCTTTGAGAATGCTTTGTAAACAGATGAACACAAGTAGAACCAAAAACCACATTACAAAATGCAGGCATGTATTAGAAGGTACTGATGTGAATTACAAAGATACTGACATATATAATCCTGAGAAATCTGTTCTTGAAACTTTCTTTTGTTCTTGTAAGCTTGACCTGCATCTCTATATGAAATTCAAAGTGATAGCTTAGGATTCAAAGTCTGTATGTTTCAAACATAGTTTTGGCTTTGCAAAATAAAGCTGCATCAGTGTTCTGACTCAGAGACAGAGGTGTTCAGAGGTCGCGCATCCTTCAAGACTGTGACCGTTGGACTCCAGCGCTCAAAGCACAGGGGCTGTTACTTAGATGCTCCTTGTAGGATAGCCGATGGGCCGAGAGAATCTATGGAGATAAATTTGTGTTTCTAAGCAGGCATGGAAACCGTTCCCTTATTGTGGCACAGCTGGAAATCAGCTCTTCTGTATAATTTGAATTTTCAGTTTAAGTGAAGCTTACTTCTTTATGCAATAACCCATTTAATTTCAGCCAAACTGAATAAAAGTGTTTCCAAAATACAATACATAACTTCATTTTGTTCAGTATCATCATTGTTTCTTGCTGCCTTGAGCATCAGAACAGGCACATCCGTACTGTTTGGTGCAGCAATGCATCGATGACCTCGGGAGACACAGAACCGCATAGATTTTGACCCTTTATTAAGGAGCTCCGGATTGTTCTTTAATAGTTCTGGTATCTTTTTTTCACTGGTTTCCCCAAATCTCCTCCCACTGTCAGGCTCTGGCTGGACCTTACATGTGTCTGCCGTTAACCATCCTCTGCCGCTTTGCAAACACCATTCTACTATGGTTGAGGAACCAGCTCTCTGCTCCGGTCAGAGCTGTCTTCCTAGGGGCAGTGACTTAGGACTTGCCAGTTTGTTATTAATAAATTACTTGTATACATGTGCTTACATTTATTACATACTCATGTGTGTGTTTACATATGATCACAACTATTTGTGCTGACCAGAAGACAATTTCTCTTGGTTCCTGTTACAAAGTAGTTGATCAATTATTTCTAGATAAATGAGATTTTATTATACTTTGTAAATCTCAAACGAAGATGAAAATTCAGGCACTGTATCACCTTGCAAATGACAAACCTACATGAGAGGTGTTTAAGTATCACATTGCAGACTGCATTCTTTTTTCCTTCTGAACAAATAAGCTAGTTTTAAAATGAGGCCAGAAAAGTACAATATTTTCAAATCCCTTTAAGATTTTTGAGAATGTGTGCAAATAACAGGGACTCTGGAGGTGTAGGTACAGAGAATCCGGTCTAAATGACTACGGAGTTTATGCTAATAGTATACCAGTGCGTTATTTGGAAAGGCGCCGTAACAAGATATCCCAGACCCAGCAGCTTGCACCATAGACATTCACTGTCTCGCAGTCCCGGAGGCTGGAAGTCTGAGGTCCAGGTGTGGGCAGGTGTGGGCAGGTGTGGCTCTCTCCCAGGTGTGTAGACATCCACCTCCGCCTGTGCCTCACTGGGTCTTCCCTCTCAGGAAAGGCCCCTTCTCCAAATACAGTCCCAGGCTGAGGAACTGAAGGCCAGGACACCAGCATGTGAATTTGGGGGGCATGATCCAGCCCATAACCATGTTTTCTGCAGGTGGAGCAACTTTTCATATTAAAGTTAATTTCAAATACTTGAGAGTTCTTTTCCAGGTAGTTTCCTCCTTTCTAATAAAGTGTGTTCCAAATAGCCATTTCCACCCCAGACTCTCAGATTTTCAGATGCGCATCCCCACAGAACGAAGGTGAGAAAAGACAGTGGCCGTCTGGGGTCAGGTCACACCTGCCATCGAATCTGTGCGGTAACTGAGCCCCAACACTCACCCACCCACTGGGGCAACACTTCCTCTGAGGAAGGCTCGGCGCCATGATTCTTGAGGCCAGTCAACCGCCCTGGGTCCCAGCCTCGGGCTCCGCAGCAGTGCGGTGTGAATTTCCCCAAGCCCACCTCCTCCGGGCACGTGGCGTGGGGGGGCAGCTGTGGTAGCAGAAGGTGGCGGCGGCGGTGCCGTGGGACCCTATTCTGCCCCCCCCCCCCGTGTGTTTAAGCAGGGCGCTCCTGCTGCTGAGGTCAGGTGGCCTCTGCTGTGGTGACCCGGTTCTGGGAGCACCTCACGTCCTCCCTCACGACGCTGGGAAGAGTGATGATGTTCCACGTTTAAGGTTAGACTGGTGGGTTGTCCTGCCCTCCAAAGTCCAACTGCTGTGACTAGTCTACACTCTGCTCATGGCCCTACAGGGACCCTGACACGCGTGCTGTCTTCGTGCTCAGAGATTTCACAGCCCGGAGGCTGCAGCACGCCCAGCTCAGGACACTCTGCTGTGACTGGCTTTCACATTTCAGGATTCAGTACATACGCACGTGACTCGGCTGCCGGCTGCCAGCTTGCATTCTTATGTTTCCCTTGGTTTGCATTTGCTGATATAATACTTTCTCTGATGTTTTATTGAGGGGATTCCATAAGATGGCTGGAGGCAAGAGCTGTATCTTCCTAACCCCTTGGTTGATTTCTCTTTTGACTCCAGGTAGACAGTCCAAGATGATCAGTACGGTGCTACTGTCCTCAACTCCAGGCCATCCTCTTGGTGCAAGAGAGCTGCTCTAGCTCCCTCCATCACATTTCCATCCCAGCCAACAGAAAGAGGAAAAGGGGAAAGCAGGTGTCAGGTGGTCTGGTCTTTAACGGGACAACCTGTAAGTTGTGGAAATCGCTTCTTCCAACCTATTGGCCTTTGCTTGGCTACGGGGTTACAAGCAACTGGAAGAAAGCTGGGGAAAGTCCTAAAGTCCTCCACTGGCCGACCCCGTATCCACTTCCCTATACAAACAGTGACCACACAGTAATTCTGTCACTATGTGAAACAGGAGCAGGGGTGCGGGGAAAAGGACCTTCAAGGGGAGCAAGGACAACTGGACCGGGTGGGTCCCTTCTGAAAAAGGAAGGAACAGAGGCCGTGCCTCCTAAGGAAGCAGGTGGAGCCACGGCAGGAGTCTGAGCGCAGGGAGAGGCGGGGTCTCAGCTGGGGCCCCAGCGGAGGGTGGTGGAGGCGGCTGGGACGCCCAGCCCAGCAACTTCCCCCATCCCACCCCACGGAGGAGCTGCCCGGGAATCCGCGCTGCTCAGTCCACAGTTTCAGAGCACCGGGTTTGGGAAGAGCGTTACTGTTTTAATAAGGAATTTTCATTCCTCTGCCTCCTTTTGAGAGATTACCTGGGCTCTTGAGTTCAACGTGACACTTCGCGATCCTTTTCCTGAGCCGGGCCTGCTGGCAGGTGCACCTGCGGCACACAAAGGCGCCAGGGCCATGGCAGGGCTCGGGCCCGCTCCTCGGCGGGGCGCTGCCGCCCCCTGGTGGCCGCATGCGGCGCCTGCAGGTTTGGGAACGTCCGCAGGGGTTTCAGGCAGGGGCCGCGAGCCTGCGTGATGCAAGCGCTTTAAAGTTTACGCGCAAAAACAAATGTACGAAGTGGAAAAAAAAAAGGAACTGCCCCAACTGTGATCTGTTGGCACCGAGATGCTTCTGATTTCAGCGTGGTGTATTTTCTATTTGTACTCTATTTTACATATCACTATAACAATACAATATTTGATTTATATTGTGTATATGTGTGGACACATATTAGCACTTGCTGAACAATTGTTTTGTTTTGTGTTTTGATGGATGATGTTGGAAACAAGGTGGACACTGAAGGACGTTCTCCGGTGAAAGGCCCTGACTCCGTAAGGCACATGCGCATTGGGAACCGCCCCCACCTTGCTTGCACCCAAAGTAACAAAGTAGCTTTGAGATATGTGAGCGGGTGTAAAGCTTTAACAAAACAGGGGGATATACTTTCTGGTTTAGGGAATAAACAAAAGGAAAAGTAACAAAATGGGCAATGAAGAATCTATGAGTGAAAATGTCAGTTCTAACAAGAAAGAGGCATATAATAAAAAAGGAGATTCTAGATAACCTAATGTCACCTTCTGAATGGAGAGATACAAAAATAAACTAAGTGCCTTCAGATTTTGTATTTTTAATGGGAGAAAGTTTATTTGTAATGAATAAATCTATTTTACAGAAAAAGACAAATATACAATATGAATAGAATCTTCTACTATATCCTCCAGAATCGGTAGAAAACCCTTATAATAATTACTAAGTTTAAATCTGATTGCAGTATTGCTGCCATTCATCTTTTAAATTTCCTTTACTATTCATGTAATAGTAGATTGGCTCTTTTTTTTTTTTTTTGCTACGTGACTACCTATATTTTGGTTTTCAGGTTTCTCCTTGTTTGTTTTGGTCATAGTGTATGCATATGTATTTATAAATGTGTATGTTTTATGAATGATTTAGAAAATATATTATCTATATATACGTTAAGTTATATATTTTAGGACACTTTTAGGGTATTCTAAAGTAATAAGAATAGGTTTTTTTTTTAAAAAAGAAGAGATATAATTTCCTACTCACCAGA